GCCACAAAGCTGACAGCAAAAATTTTCAGTGTGATTCCATCGATTCACACATCCAATATTCGTATGCAGAACAGCTGGGAAGGGGAGCATGACAGCCACCACTGATCACAGCATGTGCCCCACTAACTGGAGAAACCCTTATTTAAGGAGCTCCTGTGGGTGTTACCCAGCAAAAGGCGAGGTGCACATTAACATTATGGGTGTCACATAGACCTCCATTTTTGAAAATCTCACACTCATTCACACACAAGCAAAAAGTACAGAAAGCTACAGGTGTATTGAATACTACTTGGTTTCCCAAAGATCACTGAGCAAAGCAGCAGAAGTTTCTCTCATTGTACCTTGTGTGACATCCACTCCAAAACCCATTGCTGACTCACATGAAATTATGCAGATTTATTTATTTATTTAAAATATTTATATGCTGTCCTAATCACAAAAAATCCTCAGGACAGCTTACAATATAATAGCATAAATAAAATCCCCGACCCACACTGGCTGCAATTAAAAACATAGAAAAAACAATATTAAAACTTATTAAAATACCGTTGGAATAAAAAGGTCTTAACCTGGCACCGAGAAACAAATAATAACGGTGCCAGGCGGACCTCTCTGGGGAGTGCATTCCATAGATGGGGCACTACCACAGGGAAAGCCCTCCTCTGGGTACTTTGCCTCCTGATATATTTCACGGAGGATTCCCGGAGGAGAGCCTCTGCTGCTGATCTCAAGGGGCTGGAGGGCAAATATGAAAGAAGGCATTCCTTCAGGTATCTAGGTCCCAAGCCAATGGTATTTGCAGACAACTTTGCATTGCACAATGATGGAAACAGTTTTTCAAATGCTGGGATTATACTATTATGCATAAATCTACTGTTTAAATTCATGCATCAATTTATTTTAACTTCTGCTTTTTATTATTCTTCCATATGCTGATCTAAATGCTGTCCATGACTAAGCTAGAAATGCAAAGGAATGTTTAAATTGCCAAATTTATGGGCTCGCCTTCCTGTCGGGAATAAGAGAACACTTTTTTGTGTTTCCCATTATTTTCTTGAACGTTATTTGATGACTTACTTCTGAGTCAGCCTGTCTTTATTGTTGCAGCGACAAAAAAAAATTACAACAAAACAAATTATTGACAACAATACAAGTTCTAACGTTTTTCCCATATTGCTGAAGTATAAAATTGGCTTGAACTTTGGAAGATGAAACTAGGTGAAACCTTCCACTGCAATAAAGTTGTCCTGATAGAAAAAGCCAGCTGAATCCTGCTGAGTCCAGCATTATGGTTTCTAATGTTTTCATGCATTCTGCAATTTTGATATGCCAATTTTTCTAAAAACACGTTAGATACGTGCCAAGACATCATTTTTTGAAATAGCTGAACAGAACATTGTTTCTTGAAAGGACATACACATTATTTCCACCAGCTCCACAATTCCAACTTCTTATTCCCAAGGACAAGAACATGACCCTATCAAAAAAGGTCAAAAGTACTTGGCGTTCTTAATGTGGAGAAGAGCGCAAGGTTCGCTGATGCACATTGGGCGGCTTGCTGTAATGAGTAAGTGTGCCAAATGGCTCCCTATGGTTTCTGTGGGAAGGACAAACTGAGAACAACCTTAAGATTTTGAATGTTCCTTTCTTCCCTAACTCCAAGTCACATTCTCCTGACTTGGAGGGTGTCAAGCAGCAGGGCAACTTTAGCATGCAAGATCAGTGTCTGTCTGTCACTGGATGTTTTCACAAGTGAAGCTGCAAAGACATCTGGTGCAAATAATCCAAGGCCAAAGTGATAGTGGCCAACACTGATATCTGGCAGTGGGGATGTGGGCTTTCTGCACCACCACAAAACACAGAAGCCAACTTCCCGCAGAGAGTTAATTTATTCAACCACTGAGAATTCCAGTTTTTGTTCTCCAACAGATGTGTAAGATTCTGGCCCTCATGGGTTTGGTAGAAGAAAGAAAGCGCTTTGCGTAGTAACAGAGGCTGATGGGAAGGTTTCTTCACTTCTTATTTACTTATTGTATATCCCGCCTTTTTCATTTTTAAAGAACTCAAAGTAGCTTACATCATCCTTCTGCTGCTGCTCTCCATCTTATCCCCACAAGAACCCTATGAGATAGGTTGGGCTAAGAGTTGGTGACAGGTCCAAAGTCACTCAGTGGGCTCCATGGCTGAGGGGGGACGAGAACCCAGATTGTCTGGGTCCCAGACCTGTGCTCTTAACCACTACACCATACAGCTCTCACTTCATCCCATGCTACCAACCTTAGCTTTCACAGCCATGATATCTACTACTACAATTATGCCACCTCTCGGTGGAAAAAACCAGAAAAAAAAAAAAGCAAGAGTGATATTGCTTTCCAAGGAAGGCTTTCAAAGGATCTCTCTTTTCTCTCATACATGTTCCACACAATATTCACACTATTATTCTCACAACATGCCGGGCAGACAAGGGTTAGGCTGCAAGAATGAACAAGACTGCCCAGTAAAGCTTCATAGCTAAGTGGAGACTCGAACTGGGTCTCCCCAGTCAAAATCCAGGATCCCGCCCTACACTGCATAATAGAGCAGTAATTGCACAGAGACTGCAGATTCTGAAATAATCAAAATGAAATGCAGGGAAGAACTTCTGATTCAATGCCTAGGTACCATTCGAGGCCACTTTTTCATCTCAAGTTTACTCAGCTAATACAGACTTATTTCGGTTCAGTTCTCATTAAACTGGTAAATGTGGTCCTTGAGTGCAACAGATTTATTATGCACCTATGCAAAATTAAAATAAAATATAGAAAGAACTGGCATCTTTGACCCTGACATGCTAGTTTCCTATATGCAAAGACTGTTTTAAAAATGGTACAGAGAAGCATTTGACTATGTCAGGGCCCAGACTTGCAGTCTAAAGTAGTACAGTGCAGGCACAGATTTACCACCAGAGTAATAATTTACGGCTTTGTTGTTGTTGCTTGAAAAACAGCAAGCAAGATGAGGAATTTCTGGGAAAGGGTAATGGTACAAGCAGGGGGTAGGATTAACAAAAGTGCAGCAGCTTCTTTCCAAATGCAGTCACAAACAAATCCATCTGCAACTGTAGCAGGAGTCATGAGGTTTTCATGAAGGGGTACTACTCCTTATCACAAGCTTTACGCCTGCGGGCACCCAATGTCAAGTTATGTTGAAGAACAAAGGGAAAATATGCAGTCTCAAGAAGGGGATGGGTGGGGAGCAAGGCTCCCAAAACACACCAGACTCAGACCATGTGAAAAGTAAGTGCCACTGAGCATGTGGGGCATGCACTCATGCTATCAGCAAGTCACTAGCTTGACCCTGCAAAAACCCAGGATCGTGCCACTTCTCATTTTCTACCCCACTCATCACCCTGAAGAAAGGGAAAAGCTGCTGTACTCTGCTTGCCTCCATTGGGATTTCAGCAGATTCTCTTTGTATGTTGCCAAACCTCAATTTGAGAACACAGGAGACAGAAAAACAGCTTTTAAATGAGAACGAGAAGAGCCTCAAATGTGCTGATACAGGAACTAAAAGCTAGCAGCCCATGGATTTGATCAGGGCCCCTAGAGGGGTGCTGCCTGGCCTCCCCACTTCTAAGCTACTCTGTGCTTCCTGATGCTGCTTTGCTGCAGGCCCAGGCTCAACTGGTTCCTTTTCAGATTCCAGTGAGTTTCGCAAGAGCTCAGTTTCAAAATGAAGACAGGAGAAGAGAAGAAGCCTCCTCCAGATCCAATGCTAAATGCAGCATCGTTGCCAGCATCCTTTGGCTCTGCACCATCACACATACAAACAGCCACCCATTCCTTGTTGCTACTGTGCTGCAGCTCAGACTATACCAGCCCAAGCCTTTCTGCTCATCCTCATCCTCCACAGCAGCTGACATATTAGCAGGTGCTCTGTTGCTCCATCACACAAGAAAATTGGCCCACCACTGTGTTTTGAGCCACAGAAAATCTAAAGAGGCAGGGAGAGCTGCACAGATGCCATGGAATTGCATATTTAAAAACAAAACAACACAGGAAAGTGTTTTATAGCTTTGAGTTTGATACTGCTAACCTAGGACATGCCAAGACAGACCAACAATGCACCTTGCCTGGCACTCTCAGATACCAGAAACCTCACAGGCAAGGATGGCTTCCTGCATTCGCCTACAACATCCAAGAGTACTCCTAGCTATTAGGACTAACAGGTGGGACCCGCAGCACAAACATGGCAATGCAGCCCCACTCCTAAGAAGAATTCTCTGGTTCAGGCCTTCAGCCAGACCAGGAGTTTTGTTGCGCTATTCAGGTTGGGACAGCACTGCAGAGGGGCAGGTGAATGCAAAGCTACCACCCTCTCCCAAGTACCTGACACCTTCCCTGCTGGGGGGGGGGGGGGGAGCACTGGATATGCAGCACTGGATGGACTAGCTGCCAGCTTTGAACGCAAACTTTTTTTGATTGATATGTGTGTGTGTGTGAAGGAGAGGGACACATCCTGGAGATAAGGGTGTTCTTTCTCCATTCCTGCCTTGCAAAACATCACTCTATAGTGCATAACGGGGTGGGGGGGGGCGTTAAACTTAAGGAACAGTACCCAATACTACCTAGTCTGGGCAGGATGTTAAGGTGCTTGGGCCTTCAGCAGGCCAAATCCCCCCCCTTCACTTTCCTTTCCCCCACCTCAGCAACTGATTTTGTAATATTCCACTTGTCCTCGAAATTCTATGCTAAGCAGAATGGGGAGCTTATGTTTTAATTTGCTTATATCTATAGCTATATTTGTATTCAGAGGCATCCCAGAAATATGTAAAGCCCAAGACCCTACCTTTTTAACGGAAGAGGATAGATTGTAGCATCCCCCTGGCAATTCAGTGCTACTTGGGGGCATATGTAGCTGTTCCATAGATGAGTCTTTATTATTCAAGGCCTCCCCAAAACACAAGATGCCCCAACTGGGACGTCCAGCACTTTCCACCCTTCTGAAAGATGCTCACTCACTGTGCCGCAGACTTTTACATCGTGGAGTCGGCCCCATTCATCCTCGTAGCTATCTACCATCATGATACTGTCATCCTCCTCTTCGTTGCCCAATTCTGCGTGAAGATGGAGACGGACCTCTTCCCCCAGAGAGTGCATCCCTACGGCTGGGAAGAGCCCCTCCGGAGAAAGTGGCATTATTGTTGAGCCAACCTGCAGGAGGAAGGGAAGCTCTTCATCATGCACAGGCACTGCAAGTGTTCTGCTAAGCACGTTCATGTGGTGCATTGGCTAAAAGCTGTTCTACAAATTGCACAGAATGAAGTGGCAGAGTGAATTGGCAGAGTTCTTGGCTTGTACCACTTCACTGTAGGTGGAGAAGGAACTCACATTTTTTAATTCAGTTAAAAAAAACACACACACCCTGCATTTAGAAAGCTAGCAAGGTGGAGAAAACGGCACACCAGAGTGAGCATCTCTCCATGATATGTTTAATATCCTACATACAGGTAGGGAAGCATTAAGACATGCGACTCCACCTGTAGACCAAATTGGTACAATCCAGAATCTTATCACCTCTGGGAACATAGGAAGCTACCTCAGACTGTGGCAGATCTTTGGCCCATCTAGCCCAGCACGGCCAACACTGACTGGCAGCCACAGTTCTCCAGGGTTCCAGGCAGGAATTTTTCCCAGTTGTACCATGAGATGCTGGAGGCAGAACCAGGGATCTTCTGCATGGCAGACCAGGTGTTCTACTACTAAGCAACAGCAAGTAGGCAATCTCATTCTATGGCCCCAAGAGCATGAGCAAGAGGATTCCCTGATCAAATCTCATCTCAGTCATGAAATGAATGGGTTGGCACAGAGACAGCCTGGTGGAAAAGCACATTATTTTCCTTCTTCCACTGTTATGCACCCTTCCTTCACCACAACTCAAGGCACCATACCTGGGATTCCCAGGAAGCCATCTCATCCAGGACTTGACCAGACTCCAATTCATTTAGCTTCACTAAAGCTACTGCCTCATGTGTCTTTAAAATCTGAAGATGCCTCAAAACACAAGAAATGTCCACAATTCACCAAGAACCACTGTTGTGCTTTAGGTATTCATATACACCCCATCTACGGAAATGATGTGCAATAGATGGCACTTAAGGAATACCTTAGGAAGAAAAATGGTAGCAGCTGCCCAAGCTATTAATATAGCATTGGGGAATTCTCCCATTTGTTTGTTTGTATTTATTTATGTATTTTAGAAGCATCCAGAGTCTAATCAAGGGATAGTCAAGGTTTTTGGCCATGAGCATATTTGGCAATTTCAGGAACTCTCCTGGGCATCACTACAATATGGCTGCCATGAGAGGTGTGACAGTGCCCAAGAATCCTGCCCCAGTCTGAGTGTAAAGCAGAGGTGGGGCCCAAGGCTCAACACACAAAACAAATCCTTTCAACCCACAGTTCTCAGCACCAACAGAACTCTCTTACACAGGGATCCAAGCTGTCGGTAAGACAATGTGTCTTTTTTTCCAAATGGGAGGGGAAGGCTACCTTCACAGGCACCAAACAGGGTGTCTGGAGGCACACAGGTGGTTGCAGGCATCATGCTGCCTACCCTGCTTCAGACCTTTCCCTGGAACTGTTTCTCCTTCAACAAGCGATGGAGAAGCTTCAGAACTCACCCTCTTTCCATTCTTGGTGAAGAAGATCTGGGCTGTTTGGACTTCAAATGACACTGGCTCAATCCCACAGCCGATCCTGTCCCCGGAGCTGCATTTTGTTCCAAATTGGCGACCCTTGGCTCGGCCATTGTAAAGTCTGGATGAGCAAAGACACAGGCAGATCCCAAAAGGAACTTTTACAGGAGATCAACCAATTAGTTTCACACAGGATTTGTAAGATGCACAATGCTGATATAACTAAGAGGGTGATGGAGAAGGGGTCTATAATCATATGGAAGAACATTCCCAGTCTGGCAAACTCACAGCTGAATAGACTATGCCTATTCCCTCACCAAAGTAGAAGAGCCCAGTAAAGGCATAAGATGTCCTTACCAATATTCCCTTGCTGGGAGGGCATAACTTGAATCCCAGCCCTTTTGTTCTCTGGAGTCTTGAATTCAATGCTTATGAACTCTTATCAGAAAGGCACAATAGATGGACAATGCTAACTGGTAGACCCTTCAGTCCAGAAGCTGCCCTCCTCAGTAGCTACCATGACAAATGGAAATCTAGCACGAGCTAAAGAATATAGAGGGCCTGGTGAAGTCAACAAGGCAAGAAAGGGGCAGGATACAGTACTTTTAATACAGCCACTTGTCTCAAACAGGCCAGCCTCTTAGAATCATATATGTATTATAAGCCTTCAAGGCAGCTTCAGCCAAAGTGCAGTCAACAAATTAAATACATTGAAAGAAACTAAAGAACGTTTAAAAGAATCAATCTAAAATGTTGCAGTATAAAATCCCAGACAACACAACTGGCCACTTCTTCAAACAATTAAAAGTTTTAATCGTTAGCAATGTTTTAAACTCTGAGGCATTCTTTAACAGATCTTCACCTAGTATACAAATGCTTGCGAAGTTGACACCAGGTGAGTCTCCCAGAAAAAAGCATCATGCCCCAATTTCCACCCACATAACACCTAACAGGAAAGAAACAACAGTGCACACCATTGGGAGAAATGTTTCAAATGTGCGTATTTTACTGTGTGTGCATATGCTGGGAACATGCTGCCAATTCAATTGCTCCCCTCCCCACATGCACACAAAATAAATCAAGCACACACGACAGCAGACAATGTGTTACTTCTAGGGCTGCCCTGCTTGGTCAATTCATTGGTACACCAAATGGTTTAAAGGCATTTTTTACTACAAAAAGCTGCCCATTAAATAAAAGAGCAGATTGTTAAAATGCAAAAACCCTGCTATTTTTATAATTAAAACTTGCACCAGAAAAGGCAGTTTCCTTTCTGTCTTATCCACATGCATGCACATAGACACATGTACACATAGCCATATTACCTAAAACAGTGACTGGACTGTCAGATTTTTGTTAGGTTACAACTTTCACCATCCCCAGTCACTGGGGGCCATGGAAGTAATAGTCCAAACTCTAGGGATCCAAGGTTAGAACATCTAACCTAAAAGTTAACAAAGTAAGATTTTTTTTCACTTTCAATGTATTTCTTACCCAAAATTCATTTCTTAACCAAAATTCATTTTTTAACCAACATTTCTTAATAGGAGAACAGGCCTACTTCTTTCCTACACACATCTAGAGAAAGCAACACATGTGGGATGGCTCTGAAATTTCTGTAAAGCAAGTTATTAACTCACTTGCCATCATCGGCATGGTAGGCAACTGAATCCGGCAGCCATCCGGGCTGATGGTCCAGGCTATAGTACTGAGGCACCAGTCCCACTGCAATGGTCCCCCGCACACCACTGTCCACAATCGATACCTAGAAGATGATGGAGGAATAAGCAAATGAGCAAAAAATGGTCTAGATAAAAAAACTGTAAGTGGATCCAAAATTGGATGCTAAATCAGAAACAAAGAGTGCTCATGAATAGCACTTTCTCAACCTAGATGGAGGTAACTAGTGGGGTGCCACAGGGTTCAGTCCTGGGCCCAGTGCTCTTCAACATCTTTATTAATGATTTAGAAACACAGAAACAGAGTGAGTCAGAAGGGACCTCCCGGGCCGTCTAGTCTGACCCCCAACTCCACCTGGCTCCGCTCACGACATGCCCACCATGTGCATGTCCAGCCTATCTTTGAACACCCGCACTGATGGGGCCTCAACCACCTCCCGTGGAAGCCCATTCCACACCCTCGGGGTCCTAACTGTCAGGAAGTGCTTCCTGGTATCTAAATGGAACCTTGGCTCCCTGAGCTTTGCTCCATTGGAGAGCGTCCTGCCTTCCTCTGCAGGGGAGAACAGGTCTCTACCCATCTCCATGTGACATCCCCTCACATACCTGTATGTCGCCAACATATCCCCTCTGAGTCTCCTCTTCTCCAAGCTGAAGTTCCCTCAGTGTCGCCTCATACCCCATCCCCTGCAAACGGGCCACCAACCTTGTGGCCCTACGCTGCAATGACTCTAACCTGGCTATATCCCTTCTGTAATGAGGGGCCCAAAACTGAACACAATACTCCAGTTGCAGACATGCTAGAGTTGTATAGAGTGGTAGTAATAACTCTCTTGATCTAGAAGCCACACTTCTGGCTATGCAACCAAGGGTGGTGTTCGCCCTCTTGACCACCACATCACACTGCTGACTCCTGTTTAGCCTTCAGTCAACCAGCACCCCGAGGTCCCTTTCACAAGTGCTGCTCTCCAGTCACTTGTCCCCTAACCTGTACTCATGACATCTATTCCTATGGCCCAGGTGCAAGACCTTGCACTTATCCACACTAAACGCCATCCTCTTGACTCCTGCCCACTTCCATAGTCTGTCCAGATCCTTTTGGATCTGGAGTACCTGCTCCTCAGTTGGGGCCACTGCTCCAGTTTTAGTATCGTCTGCGAATTTGATCAGCAGACTGTTCACCCCTTCTTCCATGTCATTAATGAAAAGATTAAACAGGTTCGGCCCCAGGACAGAGCCCTGGGGGACCCTGCTTGTCACTGGCTGCCATCCCGATGATTCCCCACTAATGGTTACCCTCTGCTTTCAGTCAGTCAACCATGCCCTAATCCATCGGACAGTGCTTTGGTGTATCCCAAAACTCTTCAGTTTTTCCACCAGGATATCATGGCGCACTTTGTCAAAGGCCTTGCTGAAATCCAGGTAAACCACATCCACTGCATCCCCTCCATCTAGCCATCTTGAATCCTTGTCGTAGAATTCCACAAGGTTTGTCTGGAAGAACCTGTTATTGTGGAAGCCGTGTTGTGTGGCTGTCAGCTTCCCTTCCCTATCTAGCATCACTAGATCTCTCTCTATTATGAGCCTTTCCACTGTTTTTCCTACAATGGGCGTAAGGTTAACAGGTCTGTAATTCCCCATGTCCCTTCTACTACCCTTTTTGAAAACTGGAACCACTGATGCCACCCTCCAGTCCTCTGGAACTTCACCCGTTCTCCACGAGGCCTCAAAAATGGAGGCCAGCGGGCGTGAGAGAACCCCTGCCAACTCTCTCTCAGGTGTAACCTGTCAGGGCCTGGGGCCTTTGTAATGTCCAATGCCCTGAGGAGTCCCTCGACTTCAAGGGGGGTGACTCTAATCTGTGCCCCTACGTCCCCAGCCTCATCTAATCTCCTATGTGGATCTCCCCCTTCCTGCTTTGAGGAAAACACAGAGGCAAAATAGTCGTTTAGCATCTGTGCCTGTTCCCTCATATCAGTCACTGGATCTCCTTCCTCCTTATTTAGTGGTCCCACCACTTGTCTCCCCTTCCTCTTCCTATTTACATGCTGAAAGAAGCCCTTTTTGTTGCTCTTGATATTCTTGGCAAGTCTCAGCTCGTAATCAGCCTTAGTCTTGCGAAGAACCCTTCTGCAATGGGCCTTCTCCCCCGGTATATCCTTTTGTCTATTTGCTTCAGTACCCATTTCCTACGGAGGTTCCTCTTTTGTCTAATCCCTCTAACCACCTCCTTTCACATCCATGGTGGCACTCTCCTCCGCCTCCCCACCTTACTAACTAGAGGTATCGTCAAGGCTTGCGCCTCCAAAACCTCCCTTTCGAGTGCTATCCACCCCTCCTCAACTCGCTTACCTTCCAGTAACCTATCCCAGGAGACTTTCCCCAGTCTGGCCTTCAGTTGGCCAAAGTTGGCCCTCTTAAACCCCCAGCTTCTAGTGCTCGACCTGCTGCACGTCCCCAGTCCCCTGATCTCATAGCAAAGGATGGAGTGATCACTCGCATCCAGAGCTCCCCTAATCTGTACTTCATCTATCAGCTCCTCTCTATTGGTCAAGACCAAGTCAAGGATGTTTCCCCCCCTCGTCGCCTCTTGGACACTCTATGTGAAAAACCCTCCTTCTATAGCTTCTAGGAAGCAATGTGACCTGGCTGTCACCACCAAGTGAGTCTCCCAACTAATATCCGGGAGGTTGAAATCTCCCATAATTACTGTGTCTCTCCCCCGAGATATCCTTAGAATCTGGCCTGTCATCATCCAGGGTCTCAAGTTGACCTGGAGGGCGATAACATACCCCCACTGTCAGATCCCTTTCCCTGTCAAATCCCCTAAGTTTCACCCAGACTGCCTCTACCGAATTCCCATCTGTGCTGCATTCTATCTCACTGCATCCTATTCCTTCCCCAATGTATAAAGCCACACCCCCACCCCTCTTTTCCTTCCTGTCCTTTCTAAAAAGATGATACCCCTCTATGTTCCAGACTTGCCTTTCATCCCACCAAGTTTCTGTGATTCCCACCAGGTCATACCCTCCTATTCCCAGGAGAGCTTCAAGCTCTTCCTGCTTATTACCCATGCTCCTCGCATTGGTGTACATGCACTTCAACTCCTTCCCACCGCTTCCTTTCCTTGGAGTCCCCAGCCTTCTCCTTCCTCCCATCCTCCCTGATACCTGGCCCCTCTCTGAAGGAGTTCTATCAGTCCCTGCAGTACCTCTAAAACCCTGGTCACAGAGCCCTGATCCTCCCCCCACTCTTGTCCAGTGCAGACACGTTTCTGGGGGGCCTGAACCCCCCCCCCCCACCAGCTCAGTTTAAAGTCTTCTGGACGAAGCTCACTAGAGCATCTCCAAAGGACCTTTTCCCCATCCTCGTGAGGTGCAAGGAAAGACGGGCGCAATCTCGGCCATCTCCACCCCCAACCAGCACAATCGTGGCCATCTCCCCAAGTGGGGAGATGGCCAGGATCGCAGTTGCGTTCGTGCAGGGAAGACGTGCATGATCACAGGCGCACTCCTGCAGGAAAGACAGGCGCAGCACAGCACAGCCATAATCATGCATGTGTCCCCTGCACGAACGTGACTGCAATTGTGGCCAACTCTCCACTTGGGGGGGGGAGGGGCGGAGATGGCTGCGATCTTGGTCGCCACCCAAAGCTAAGTTCGTGACCCAAGTCAAAATTTTCATGAAATTTTTGTTCATGAGCCAAGGCGTTTGTGAGCCAGATGCCACTGTATTCTGTGATTCTATGAATGAATATTACCAAGAAACAAAACTGTAGCGCTCCACTCCAGGGAGAAGGGTTGATTACCTATAAATTGTGAAAAGGAGCAAAGCAAGGGTTTTATTAACCTTGCCTTATGCAAAAACCAAGGAAAAGACTTATATAATAGAAATGGTACTGCCTTGCCTAGATGTGCAAGTTACTGTAACATAATTAATGTCACAATCCAGTTGGATTGCCCCCAAGACCCCAAACTCAGGATAATGGGCATCCTATGCAGAGCAGAAAGAGCACCTCCCTGATCTTCCAGCTTGGCATTTTTCCTATGCAGCTGTTTTTGGCTGTCTAGCTTGGCCCCTTCAGAGGTAGAGGGAGGGAGGCTGGGGCAGTGTCAGGATTCCTCAATGCCTGGCCACTCCAGTCTCCTCCCCACCCTCTAACCCTCTCCAAGATCTCTTTCCCAGTTTTGGAGAGCCACTGATGCGGTTCTTTCCATGCAACTTGTGAACCAGGGGATGGGGGAGTATTAAAGCTCCAGTCCTCAGGCCAGATTAGGATCTCCAGTCCAAATGATCCTAGCCATTCCCCCACATCCCGCCATGATGTCTAGTAGCCAAAAGTTTATTCCTATGTGACTGACTTGCAAGCCAAATCCTCCCCGGTGCATATGTCACCCCTGCCATGAACTCAGTAGGTGGCATTAGGCAAGCAACTGAACTCTCAGCCTCACATTTCCCTATCTGCTAGGGAAATAGGTGTAATAGGGACCCACCATTAAAAAGAAAATCTTTTTGAAAACCTTGTGGGACTGACTGGATATGTCAGCCACAGACTAAGAGGAGCCTCCAGCTGAGTGCCAGTGTGACCTGGCAGGTTAGGAATGAGACTGATGTTCCAGTGCCCACCCCACTGCCCTACCTTTACTGTAAAAGGCAAACATGACCCATTTAGCCCCAGTTCTACACTACAGGATTGTTGGAAGTAAGCTAGCAAAAAGTACTACATGTTTGGTGGGAAAGCACCAAATCAATAAATAAAATAAAAAATTGTTTTCTCTCTGCCTCCCAATGCAAGAATCCTGCGATGTAAATTCTCTATTCAGAGCACAGAGGATACAGTCTTGATTAACTGCATCCCCAATGCTCATAACCTCCAACTCAGAGACCTAAGAGCATCCAGTGTAGGGCAGAAGGAGGGGTGGAGGCAGTTCTTACCATGAATACATTTTTCCTAGAGTTTAGCCAAGGTCCACTTCCCTACAATTTCCATTCATTAACCCTAGTCCTGCTCACTGGAACAATTGAAACAAGACAAGAAGGCACAAGAAGAAAAAATCTATTGGGAAGTGGTTCTGGCGCCACTGTTTCAAGAATGACCACTCCAACTGAGAGAAAAAGCAAGCAAATTACCTCAAAGTAATTGTTGTCTTTGGTCAGTGGACGAGGAGCCACATAACAGCCGACTTCACCAGAGTTTCCCTGGTAACTGCAGAAAGATATAAAGTCCAGTTCACTGCTATTCAGGCCACACAAAGTGAGAAGCTTTTATGAAAGAAAGGAGTGTAGACTGGAGAGGAGGTCACACTGGAGGCAACGCACAACTGGCAACAGACTGCTAATACTCCTCTCCCAACTTTTGCACCTGTCTTCTGCCAAGTACACTGCTGTTGAAATATTTGTTCCATGGCAGTGAACTGGGCAAAGGTGCATCAGGACAGAAGAACCCAAACACTGGCATAGGGTGCAGTCCTGTCAAGACCTTCAACATCTGGCATGAGGGCAGCCACGAGGAGAATTCGTTACCCCAGAACTCAGCTCATCCTCTGACTTGTTTACCAACTAAAGGGAAGGCAACCAGGTGATAGATTGAAAGAGGGCAAATGATCTCTTTCATCTCCAATAAGGTAGATCAGAAATGGGCAACTTCGGTTTTCTCAGGTGTCTGACAAGATCTGGGGTGGGATACATTTTGACACAAATGATGATACCTTGAAAGAGCATGCAGGCTCCATCAAATGATCATAATCTAGAAGAGGGATGGGAAACCAACAGCCCACAAGCCTAGTCCAGCACATGGGGGATCCTGTCTAGTCCATGGAGTCCTTAGCTCCACCCAGAGACTCCCCACAGGGAAGTTATTGGGGCTGGGAAAGGAAGCAGGGAGATAACAGGGAGGCCGCCACAGTCCTCCACAATGCCCTTCACACAGATAAATGGCTATTCTGACATATGCCAGTCTTCCCCACCATCACTCTCCAGTTGCTTTGAACTACAACTCTCACAGACACATTGGTCAGAGAGTATGGGAGATGCAACCCAACTCATCTAAAGAGCACTGGAATGGGGAAAGCTGGTACAGCTACTGTGGCAATAAAATGTTTGCTGCTTGCATTGTCTGAAAAAAAGCTACAGGAGAGGCCAAGTTATTGCAGAAATTTGCCCTTTCATTCCACACATTAAAACAATGTACAGAAAGACTGGGCCAACTTTCTGTTAAAAAAGTGCAAATAAGTTCTAAAAGAACTCAGGCTTCATTATCCATTATGACTATACCCAAGCAAAAACAACAGAATAAGGGCAGAAGGGGTACACAGTACTCTCAGGATGGAGCTTATCTTAAATAAGATATAATCTTAAACAGAGCACACTTCAATTGTTAAATTTTTGACAGAGGACTTCATTCATCCAGATTCCCCAGCACCAAGAATCACCTTAATGTATCTCCATCAACAAGGATATGTTTGAACCTCTCTTGATAACGGACAGCTCGAACTTCTCTGATCTCCCGGATTCTCCTCCTCCAGTTCAGAAATCTGTAGTGCAGGTTTAAATCATCCATTTTGGCTGGAAGAATCTACCTATGAGAAAAGTCCATGTTTAAAAAGGAATCAATTTCCAACTAGGTGACTCTCACAAGGAATCCTACAACCTAGAGATGTCAGCCAATATGCTGAAGTTGCAGGCAGGGATACACTAAAACCTGGTCCAACGTTCTAACATCCCAGTCTAGCACTCTAACACTACAACACATTGACTCTTGAAACTGGACAGTGAATTAGCAAAGCAAACACAGGGTACCAGAGACAGTCATTTCCTGGTACTTATGGAAATTACCACCTAATACAGCTTTCCCCAACCTCCATCATCCCTGCAGAGCACCAAGTTGGGGAAGGCAGGGGTGGTAGCACACCTGGCGGCTTGGCTGTTAAAGTCACTACAATAAGCTAATAATCGAATCTTCATTCTGCATTATGTTAATATTGCATTATAAAATTGAACTCCAAGTGCATGCCCAGGGCTTTCTGTGACAGCACATGACGCAGTCACTTTGCTGAACTTAGATAGATTCAGGTCAAGCCAGTGGCTGAATGGAACACTTGGGACACCCCATGTCTATTGTCTTCAGTTCCTTGATAAAAAGGTACAATATATGTTTAGTAAAATTTTTAAAATCAAATAAAGAATAGACAGTCAGTGGGCAAGGTTGCACATCATGCTAACCTACCCTGGCATGAGTCATGGTGGATTGGCTGCTGCCCGAAGGAACCCCCAGTGCACTCAACAGAAACTGGGCTCACCCTGGATTATTTGTCCCTTCCTTCTCTCTCAGTCCACCTGTGGGTATCCCAGAGGACTCCACTGCAGAACTGACTTGTCTGCTCCCTGTCAAAGCAAAAACAAAAAACCCATTGCCCTGTTAAAACCCAATTTTAAAAGGGAGCTATCAAAACTATTTTGTCCTCAAAATGGGGTGAGTTGTACTTTTACATTTTCCTAAGTAGTTAAGAGTCTCCAGGAAATATACAAAATGCAAAAGAACCTGAGGACAGTCAGGGAAAAATGAACAATTTGAGAATCTCACAGTAAAAAGAGTATAAATCCTGCCACCTCCATTTTATGAACAAGGACCATTTGTGGGAAGACTCCTTCCTCTGAGAGCTTGTCTCTTGACAACTGTCAGGAGAAAGCACAAGTCTTACTAAACAAATAAAGTATGAAAATATTTGTATGCACTGTAGGCATATTTTTAAAAAAATGTTAACAACCACTGTCAACCCCTCCAGTGTACCACTTGAGGACTATGAAGGGGCTGTCACTGGCTGTCAAAGTGGAGATCACAATCCCTAGGGGGAAAATGGAGGAGGGAACCACAATGAATGAAAAGACCTTGCAATTTTAACAGGGAACGCCCAGTGAATAAAAGTAACCCCAAAGTGTCACTAGCATGCCCCAGCCAAACTTGGCAAGATGGCAATGGGGTTTTTCACTCTTTCCAAGAGACTCACTTGTCATGTCTCTTCATTCACAATAGGAACAGTTGCCTGGGTTCAGACAACATGCCAACTGTGGTTGAAACATCGCCTAGAACAAGCCATGGGTTGTCAGGATGGCTTGTTACAGGAAATGTCCAATATCATATGACACAACAAACCACCATGTCTTATAACCCGTAGTGGTTTTGCAGGCCATGTGAACTCAGTAATTTATTTTTACAAAAACTCAATTTCCTTCAGACAGACACCTTCCACTTCATGAATAATAGACTCATATCCAGTACTCTGACACGCCTCATCAAGGTCTCACTGTTTTTTCTTACTTTCTCCTGTATCCCATCCTTCTTACAGAGCTATTCTCTTTTACCCTTCCAAGAGTACTTGATTATATTTAATCCAGATTACTAGTATATCCTTTAAAAAAGCATTAAGCTATGGGCAGAAAAGAGCAGAATGCAAAATGTTTAGGTTACACCATGAGACAGCCCAAAGCCACTATATGACCTTCACAACAAAGTGTGGGTTTTAATCATAACTTCCCTATAAAGTATTTTCTCATTCCAACTCACCTCTGGCCAGGCCATGCAGGTTAATTCTTAACTTCCTATGCCTTCTTCTGCCTGCCTACCTCCGAAATATTCACTTCCTAAAATATGGGGTCTCCATGCTAACTCTGGGATCTGAATACTCTCCTCTCAAAGCAATGCCAAGACCAGTGGCAGACAAGCTGGTGCCTTCCTGATGCATTGGTCTTTATCTCTCATCAGCCCCATCCAACATGGTGACTGATTGGGGCTTTGAGAGTTGCAGTCTGGATGGCACGAGGTTGCCTACTTCTGGCCTACACCTAGTCACTTGCTTGCCAATATTGCCTTCTCTTTCTTATCCTCTGTGCCATGCCAAATATCCTCCCCTTTAGTTCTCTTGCCCCTCTTTCCTCCAGACTGTCACAATGTCTCTGCAGCCTTCAACCCCACCCCCCCCACCCCAAATCCCAGCTATTGTGCTGCAGTGGCTAAAGCAGAAGGGGCAGATATAAGAAAATCAGACTAGTGAAGAATAAAATAAAATGCCTTTTGGCTATGAAGCTAACTAGTTTTGCACAGGTCACCTGCTTTCATCAACTAAACCTCACAGGCTTGTTGTGCAACTAAAAGGTCATCTTATACACCTTAGAGGAAAAGCAACATGAAGTGAATTAAAACTATCGTGTATATTATGTCTCACACATCCCTCCTTCTAGTCCAGCAGTTAAAACACCAGCGAGTGTTTTAGTAACAGCTCTGGGAGCGGGTTCAGAGCTGAGGCATTAGAGATTATGCGGGGTAACCAGGAAGAGGGTGCCTCTGAAGATGTATCTACCCCTCATCACTAAACATGGCCCCAGGTCAAGAGAACGCAAATTCCACCCTTTTATTTCCTGCTCGCCATATTAGGGAAAAAAAAGTAACTTCCTCACCCATCCGGCATTTCAAATCCAGAGCAACTCTCCTCACCCTCAACCTTAAAGGGCAGCCCCTCACTCGCCACCCTTCCAGTCCACAACTAGTTGCCATAGCCCAGCCCAGGAATCCCCTCCCCCACAAGCGCCCCAGCCCCAAATCAGTTCTTACCCTGAGAGGCCCTCGCTCTCCCTCCATGGGCCCCGCCCCTGCCCAGCCTCGTTCTCCTCCTGCCCCTAATCTAATCTAGTTCCTCGTCGGCTCGCTCTCCTGCCAACCAGTTCACATCCGGGCTCCGCGGCCTCGGCCCCGCCCTCCCACCTCTGGCCTGCGCTCCGCCGATTCCGCTGAAGCATGTCGCAAAGCGCTGTAGCCGCGACGAGCCAATCGTAGGGCGCTGGGCGTGGTCTCTCGCTCACCCTTGGTCGCGGGGGAAGGCAGTCTTGAATGAAGACACGTTGCTCTCAAGCTATGAATGGGAAGGTGTGTGTGACGCCGTTCTTCCAGGCGGAGGCTTCCGAAGGTTAAGTTAGCGATTGTGATATAAGCAGGGAAGGGATGCAATGTAGCGGACAGAGACTGCTGCATTTCAAAGGCGAGGGGACACTATGAAGATGGGTGAGAGCTGGTTAGATTCAGCCTGGAATTGTTACTAAAAACCACCCGTATTCAAGGTGGATGCCCCCAGATGTCTTATGCCGGCTGGAGCATGCTGGGAATTGAAGTCCAAGGCCGCAGAAATGTATCCCAAATCTCTGTTCCTCTTGTTTGATAGGTACAAAGCCCAAACCATCTGGTGGGCACCAGCTTGAGGAAACCATCTGGCCACAGTTACTTGGGTATTGTGTCTATAAAAATATTTCTGTGTTTTCACAGAAGTCACTAGTCTACTGCAGCAAAAACAGTTGTGTGACACCTTAAAGATTAACATAGTTATTCTTACATAAGCTTTTATGCGTGTATTTAACTGCATAACTTCTGTATCTATGTGAAAGGTCTACAATCTATATTTGTACTTTGACATTTCCTGCATAATCTATTTCTGACAGATCAATAAAAGCTGCATAGGGGTATTTAGAAAAATAGTAGATCTCAAAAGGGAGGCTACCCCATAGCAAACTTGGGAGCTGTCATCGGTAGTGTCTGATGTGTTTTTCATGTAGAAAGGGCAAATAAGGCTGCCCACCTATGGGTGTTTAGACTTTTTTAAAAGTCCTGCAATTCCCAGCATTCCCTGGTGGCACTGGCCAGGGAATGCTAGGTAGTGTAGGACATTTTTCCCGTCTAAACAGGCATAGGATTGTGCCTTAATCACTGATGCCCCGATAACAGATAAATCTCTAATAATTTTTTTTCACTTGCCCCCCCTCTCCAGTTTTTTGCCACCGACTCCACATCTTGTTTAAGATAGGCATTGTTGCACCCTCTGTGGCAAGCACAGAAGCTCATTCAAATCATTGTCTGCCCTTCCAATATCCACATAATTTAGAAATGATGTACGTTCCATTGCTGGCACTGCAGAGAGCCTCAAGCAACTTGCGTCCCGCTGCAGTGAGGCTTCCATGCCAACTGCTACAGAGCAAAGCAATTTTCACAACTCTGCATTGGGAAGAGTCGGGAGCAAGCAACTGCTTGATGGCTGCAGCAGCTGTGCAATTCTAAGAGTCAAGTATTGCCCCAGGATTCTGAGCATGCAAGTCCTGGAAACAGAGCTCTGTTCTGATTGCTGATCCTAGAAGCTGCAGCACAGAAAAGGAGGGCAAGGAAGCTCTGACCATCAACAGAAATGCAGATGACTTGCCTCCTGGCTGCTCACTCACGAGGAAATTTCAATCTGTTCTGCTCTCTCTCCATCAACTGAGTGGGCATTCGCTGCTGCATTGTGTTGAGGATGCCTCCCTTTTGCTATTTGACATGGAAATCATTCCGTGTTAGGAATTTTATGTCAGGACTGTCCCCTTCCAAGAGGCAAATGCCTCATAGGACAGATTTTGGGTGCCATTAAAAGGAAAAATAAATGGCAATATTTATAGAGAAGGCAGATCTGTGTTCAGCAATGCGCATGTGTTTAGGCTACAATCCTAAGCATGTTTAATAGAGAGCAAGGCCCACTGGACACATGAAATTTACTTGTAAATGAAGACGCCTAAGATAGTGCTAGCTTACTCATCTCTTTATGCTGAGGAGATGGGCACCATTGAATTTTCTGCCTTCAGTGTCAACAAATGTTTGGGGTCACTTCCACAGGGTTTTGATGGTATGCCCCCAAGTTAAGTAAGCTGACATTCCCCTAAAATGCAGAAGCATGTCCTTTTTATCTTTGCAGCTCAATCCTATGGCTGCTTGAGCAGGAAGAGGGTATCTCTGGCTCATGAGCTGAATATGACCCATGGATGCTTCCCCTCCAGTCCACCACATTTCTTCCCCAGGCCTTACCCTTTTGTCTGCCCCAGCACCAAGAGAGGGGGGAAAGGGTATTTCTGAACTGTTCTAAATCCAAGATAAGCTCTTCTCCTTACACAAATCAGCTGAAGAAGTGGAGCTGGGAAGTGTGTGTGTGTGTGCACACGCATACACCAGCATTGGCCCCATGCCCTGCTGGCATGAGACATCCCAGCCTGGGGTTCATTTAGCCCAAAATAGTTCTTCATCTCCAGCCTGTGGGAGGAATAACTCTGCTGATATGTATCACCCCTTCTAAAAATGTGGATAGACTGCACACCATTACAAAAGCTTCTGGAGCATGGGAGCTGCAACCTTTTTAAAAACTGATAAAAACGTAACCTTACAGCAATGCTTTCAATAAATAAATAGACTTCTCCCTACAGAAGGATGTTTCAACTTGCCTATGGTGGGAGGAGAACAGATGGAGCAGGATACCCTTCTCAAGGGTAGTAAGTTATGGCTGCTTGCTGTTATAATCACTCTTTCCTTTCCGTCAGAAGAGAAAAATATTCCAGGCATGCAGAGCGTTCTTTTTATTTTATTTATTTATTTATTTAAAACATTTCTATGCCGCCCCATTCACCAAAGCCTTGGGGCGGCTCACAACATAAAATTAAAATATAATACATTCAAATGTACAACAAATTAACGATATAAAATAAGTCGCCCTGGCCAGATAAAATAAACAAATAATATTAACAATTAAAATGACATTTAAATAAAAAGGTCTTCGCCTGGCGCCAAAAAACTAATGACGACGGCGCCAGGCGGACCTCTCTGGGGAGCGCATTCCATAGATTGGGCGCCACCGCAGAGAAAGCCCTCCTCCGGGTACTCACCCTCCTAATTTCCTTCACGGAGGGTTCCCGGAGAAGGGCCTCTCCCGCAGATCTCAAGGGGCGGGCAGGCATATATGGATGTAAGCGCTCCTTCAGGTAACCAGGACCCAAGCCATTTAGGGCTTTATAGGTCATCACCAACACCTTGAATTGGGCCCAGACTTCAATGGGAAGCCAGTGAAGCTGACAGAGGACTGGAGTCATGTGAACATAACGCCCAGTCCCCGTCAGCAACCTGGCAGCTCTATTTTGAACCAACTGAAGTATCCGGACCATCTTCAAGGGAAGCCCCACGTAGAGCGCGTTACAGAAGTCAAGGCGGGAAGTCACCAGTGCGTGTGTCACTGTCGCCAGGCAGTCGTACTCCAGGTAGGGGGTGCAAACATTATCGCAATGAAGGGAACAGAAAGGAACGGTTTCCTTCCCATTCTTCTGTTCACCTGAGCACATGTTCACGCCCCCCCTTTTGAACCCTGCTCCCGGCCGCTTGTTCCCTCCTCCTTTCCCCTAATTGGCTAATAGGGTACTGAGAGTTACATTCTTTCCGCCCGCCTACTCTGTGCTGCCCCAACACCAGGCCTTCTTCCCAGTCCAGCCCTGCCCCTGGTGGGCTACAATAGGCTCATTTTGTTCTGCCCAGCTTGTCAATAAACTATCAGGAAGTATTTGGCCCTCCTGCCTATACCCATACCTTGTGCTATCTGATTTTGGCCCCTCCCCTCCTTTGGACTAAGTAATTTTCTTTGTTACCTTTTTAAATCTCTACTCCCTTATTTCAAATCATCCTTTCACACCTATCAATGCCATAACTGTGAAAGCTCCAACTGGTCCTAACTTATCAGAAGAGAGGGGTCTTTAGTTAAAATTAGGGAATGTAACGCATTGGTTATTTGTATGCTTTGCATTCTGAAAGATCCAGGCTTGATCCCTCATATCACCAGCTTAAAGGATATCAGGGAGCCAAGCTTGGAAAGACATGCTTCTCAAAGAGCCACTGCTCAACATGGTGGCCTGCATTTGGCCAGACATATCAACACGGTTACATGGGTTTAAATGGGAAGCATCGGCAACAATGTACCATGAATACCTATGGGCTGGGCAGCTGCAGCAGCAAAAGATGAGCCCTCTAGGAAAAGAAACTGCATTTTGGCAAGATGCACAATCCATGCAATTAAAGAACAGA